GGAACAAGCCGTGAGGTCGCCATCTTGGAGCACATGTTCCTCTGAACAAAGAAAATAAGAAGCGAACGTGGCAAAAGCAATAGGATTCTCTGCTCCAAAGCAAGTAAAAAAAGAAACAAGAACGGCAAATTGAGTCAAAGTGAGCATGAGTGAGCATTGTTATAACAAAGTACCAAATGGATATTGATTAAAACTGAAAATAATGATAATGCTCCTTGTAGATTCCACGATCCCAACCAGACTCCCAAGAACACAAGTATTAGTAGATAAATAAAAGACAAATGTACAGCCATGTACTCAACCTCCTAACCGTGGGGCACTGCGTCGTGGTGCTGTAAAACCCGTTCCCAAATTTTGGTATCTCTTCCAACCACATTAATGTGCGTTCGTATCGTTCGTAATGATATATCCGACCCAATCCATATACATTATTAATAAAGAGCTCTATTGTATTGTTGTACAAGAGCGATCTTAGTCCAAAGACCACTCGAGGTTCCAAAAGATGTGTTTTTAGATGGCTGCGATGCGACTGCTGGGCAGCTGCATCGAAGGGTCATCAAACTCCATCTTGGGACCGGCGTAGAGGTCGTAGATGCCAGATCCGTAGGCGGGCAGCTGGCCGATGGTGGCGACCTCGACCGGGGCCTGGTACTGGTACCACTGCTCCGACTCGGCCTGAGGAGAGGGGTAGTGGCCGGCGGCGGCTTGGGCCTGCTGGGGCATCTGCTGCGTGTACTGGATCATGGGCTGCTGCTCGACGGCGGCGGCGTTGTGCATGGCGTACGAGTTTTCTTGCGAGCCGTGGTGGGCGTACAGACCATCGCGAATGTTGGGGCTCTGGCCGGCGACGGGAGAAAAGGCAGGGCTGCTAGTGATGGGAGTCGTCATGCCCTGGGTGGTGTAGGCCATCTCGACAACGTTGCTCGGGCGCTCGCTCTGACCGCGGGGAACCTGAAAGGTAGGGTGGATGTTGGTGTTCATGGTAGCGACGCCCGGGTTGCCCTGCTCGACCACGTAAAAGGGATGCTGGATGGATTGGCTGCGCTGGAGCATAACGGGATGATGCTGGACAGAGTACTCGGCGACGTTTTGCATGTTGTACTGGTGCATCTGCTGGTTGAAGTCGGGGAACGAGGCAGCGCGGTGCATAACGTGGGTGCCCTGGGGCATGGACTGGCCGGGCACAATGGCAGCGACGGGCCAGGACATGGTAGACTGGGTAGGAGTGGGAGGGGCTTCACCCATGTCGGAGTCGGAGGAGCAGTCGTCCATGACCTCGTGGGGGTGCAGGCCGCGCTGGTGAGAGCGGCGCTGGTGCTTGACCATGGTGGTCTTGCGGCAGAAGCTCTTGATGCAGCCGTCGTGGGCGCATTTGTAGGGGCGCTTGCCGGTGTGGATGCGGCGATGGCGGGCAAGAGAGGAGGACTGGAGAGGGTGTTAGCGAGAGGTTGCGGATGTAGGATTGGGCGTGTATCGTACGTCAGAGAAGCGCTTGCCGCAGCCCATGTGTTGGCACTGATGAGGCTTCTCGCCGGTGTGAGTTCGGATGTGAACAGTCAGGGCGCTGCGCTGGATAAAGCTCTTGCCACAACCGGGAATAGAGCAAGAGTAAGGACGCTCGTTGGTGTGGATTCTGTAGTGGCGCTGAAGATCCGACTTGCGGTTGAAGCTCTGTTGCGACCCGAGTGGTCAGCAATGATGAGGTGAAACGTCGGCATGATTGAGAAGCTTACCTTGTTGCACGAGTCCCAGTCACACTGGAACGGGCGAGTGGCAGGCTCATATTCGACAAGCTCTAGGAGTTCCATTGTGGGTGATGATGAAGAGGATGAGGATGAGGATGAGGATGAGACAGATGATGAATGGAAGTAGGGGTGTGACAAGAGGAGGAAGGGAGGAAGTGTCGTAGATATATATGTATAATATATAAGATGAAGAGAAGGTAGTTCCTCAAAGTGATGACCAGGTCTCAGAGAGAGAGGCGCGGTGGTGAATATATGTTGAAAAGGCAAAGGCAGCCGGGGTATGCAAGGTGTGGATCTGGCTCTGAATCAAGTGGGCTGTGACCGGGGGAAGAAGGACAGGTACTGACAAACCCTGGCTTGGGAGTGTGGTACAGAGCGAGCGAGGGTATGTTTATGGTCGGTCGGCTTGAGCTTGGGATACAGGGCCAAGAAAGTGGGTGCCAAACTTGATGGGAGGTGCTCGAGCGTCGGCAAGCAAGTATGATGGACAGGGCGTGTGTCTGTGAAGAAACGGTTTGATAAAAGTCGAAGGCGAAGTTGCAATTTCTGATTAGAAAAACATTCAATAGCAGGCCAATTGGGGTTAGAAGAGTGAAAGAAGAAGTCGAGGCTGTTGTAGAAGTTTGCAGAGCGAGACAATTGCAGGTAACGAGGGAGATTTGTCTTGCAATATCGTGAAACGAAGAAGCAAGCCTTTGTCTGATGTAGAAGTGATGTAGATGAGATTCGTGATGCCTTGATGATGTGAAGAGGCAACAAGTAATTCAATGAAGAAGATGTGATTGATGAGAAACAAGGAGGATTGTGTCGAGAGGAAGCGAGGCTATATAGATGAAGGTAGGACCAGAGGGACGGGTCGAGAGAGAGGCAAAAGAAGCAACACGGGCTTGGGAAGGGAAATGTGGAGATGGAGTCGAGGCCAGAAAGAGAAGATTGGGAGGTCCAGCTAAAGTAAAAGCAAAAAAGAATAAATAAATAAATAAATAAAAAAGAAAAAGGAAAGGAGCCAGCGAGGCCCAGGACCAAGAGACCAAGACAGCGGGCAGGACAGACCGGGAGCCCGCAAAAAGGCACCAGCACAGAGATGGAGCCACCGATACAGAACGTCGTTCAGAGATGGACTAGTTTAGTGTCCAAGGGGAGAGCTACCGGGGAGTGGGCGAAAGGATGGAGGGGGGGGGGCGTGGTTGAGGAAGATGAGGGGGGGTCTACGGTGAGAGACTCAAGGGCCATTGTGTGCAGGTGAGTTGAGAGAATGATTGTATGGGGATAGAACCAGAACAAGGCAAGAACTGGTAAAAAAAAAAAAAAGAAAAAAAAGGCAACTCGGCAAGGATACTGGAAGTTTGGAACGGCGGAGGGGAAACAGCAGTAGATTTGGGCGGACGAGATGGAAACGAGGTAGCGAGGCTCACGAGAAGTGGTGTAAGTTGGCGACAAGTCATGCACAGTGCAGCGTAGCGGGTTTGGGGCGGCCTGGGTGGGCCAAGTACAGTGCTGCTTGTGTGAGCCTCGGAAGAGGGGAGAGTGGGAGAAGGGAGAGAGAGAGAGGGGAAGAAGAAGGGAGGGGTGTAAGCTAGTGAGTGGTGTGTGTAGCGGGCAATTTTGACTTTACTTGACTGATTTAATAAATATTCTACGGATTAGCGTGCATGGAAATCAGGAAATAAAATACTGTTGCTCCGTAGATAAAATGGCGTGGCGGGGAGGACGCCTGGATGGGGAGGACGCCTAGATGGTGGAGGAGGAAAAGGACAAGGAGATGCCTGTACGCTGTGGTGTGATTGTGGAGGGACACAAAGAGCAGCCAGACACTGTACCAAAAAGAGGAGAAGACCGGGGGACCTGGCTTCGCCTGGAGAGAGGGAGAGAGCTCTTGCTATTTTTTTTTTTTGTGCTCTTTTCTTTTTATTTTATTGCTGCAGGGGCACATCACTTGCACTTCAAGCAGCCACCCCTTGTATGCTGTATCCCCCCTCCCCCTGTAAATGCGGTGCAGGTGGCACTGTAGGAAAAAAGCCCGCTGTGAAGCTCCGGTGCCGTGCCGACTTTTTGGGGCTTGGGGGGGGGGGATTGGGGGGGGGGGGGGATTGGGGCTTGCAGGTTTAGCCCCAGCCCAAGGTTCAACGCTTGGCTTGCAGTTGAAAAGAAACGCCCGCCAAAAGGCAACGCAAGAAAAGAAATTAATGTGAAGGAAAAAAGTAAAGAAAGAAAGAGATTAATGCTCGTATCTTTGTTTAGCTGAATAACCTCGAGTAGCTGGTTCATAAGATTAAAAGCAACGTAGTTATCGCGCTACTCTGCTCACTCAAAAATTACCAATACAAGTTGCAATCGCATAGTCTGAGTGAGGAGTGAGGTGCTGGCCTGACTGCGCAGCCAGCACGTTCTCATCAAACGCGCCACACTCATCCGCCGATGCCGCTCTCTCTCTCTCTCATCCACTGCAGCAGCTCTCACTCATTGCCCACATCCCATTCTCTCTTTCAATTAGACCTCTCATAAAGTTCGTCCATTTTCCATATTCAAAGGACATTCATCTCCGCGTCCACAGTCATGATCCAATTCCCTTATCATAGTTCATCTAGTCTTTCAATACCTATTTCCACCTATTTCCTCTGATAATAATTACATGTTTTTGGGTCCACCTTTACCCTCATCCTTCACAAGCTTTTTGCGTTTGCACCATCTTTCCCCCCCGCCCAGAGGTCCTTTTTAATTTTTTGCCACCAGGTGGGCGCTCGTCCTCGTCCTCCTGCGATTTCCTGCTGCCAACAAAAGTTATAGTTACGGTCTGTATCTCACCGCGTACCTCTTTCCTTTTCCTTTTCTAGCAAGGTCGCATCCATATTCTCGTCCACCCCAAACACATTGACTCAATCTGGCAACTAGGGCGACCCCGCCGATGCGGCACACCATGGTCACCACCCTCATCAACTTGCCTGCGGCTTTCGCGGGGGGCCTGGCTGGTTTCTTGTGCCTCGCTCGAGTCATCACATCGACAAACAAACCATCAACAACGTGGTCGACACCCTCGTTCCATCCACCCCACTGGGTTGACGGTTTTCTCTTTCTCATTTAATTTGTTTTAGTCTGGTCGTTTCATTACTTCTTTCGTCCTCTCCTCCCCTCGCTAGCGATCAGAACCCTGCGCTAACGTGGTCCTCTGCCTTTGGGATCGGACTTTGCATGGACCTTCAGACTGAACCTGCGACACTTGAATGATCCAAACTGATGCCGTCATATTCGCTTCTTGGCCGCCATACCTCATCGAGTCTTGGTCTCTCTCGAACTAGGTCCATCTCTTCACCCTGCAAGCGCACTGTTGTTTGGGCAGGGTCACATCGCCATCGGCCTGCTATCCTGCTATCGTTGTGCGTTTCCTTCCCTTCGCGGCCCTCGCACCCGGCATTGGTCGGCCGTTTCTTCATCTAGCTTCCATTACCACCCTCCCGATATCTCGTATGGCGCAGTATCAACTAGTTCGCCCGTTGTGTGTTGGCACCATGCCGATACCCTTGAAGCTGCCGTGCGGCCACGCACCCACGAGCCACATGGTAGGTAGTTGACACCATCCTAGCGTGCCTTGTAGCTTTGGCGCCAGAAAACGTTCGGCTAGATCTGTCACATTCCTTTCCCATGCCTTGCTCACATGTGGTTATCAGTCTGGAAACTCCATCTAGCCTAGCGAGAACCCTCTTTCCGTTTAGTTGCTGGTCTCGGGCGTCTGCCTTATCTGGTTGATGGTTATCGGTCGCTATTCACAGAGGGGGAATCCGAGCAATGATAGAAACTACTTTGACAGCTTGCCAGGGCCACATAAATCGGCCATGCACAAGAGATGTCGTGGGGCGCGCGCTTGCCTTTCAGGGCTCCTCTATCTAACTAGTCAAGTCTCTCAATCCAGCCGTCAATCTCCCGGCCCGAGGCCCGCGATGGCCGGTAGCCCATATAGCCAGAAGCACGCTCCGAGACCTTTTCTTGTACTATCAGCAAAACAATCGCAAGTCGCTGCTCTAGCGATCACCCACAACTAGCCTCGTTCAGGTCAACATCTGGGATCGGTAAGCTCGGTAAGCTGTGATGGTTGCGAAGGCCGCCCTTTTCCACCGGCCCTCCCAAATCTGCATGATGGCCGTTGCTGCCACCAGGGCATGTGACAACGCGACAATGCATGTGCGGTGCTAGCGGGATCAAACATATCGTATCGGTAATTTCAGATATCGGCTTCTAAAGTGCCCAAACAGGCAAAGGTCATACTCGGCATTATCCATTATCGCCCTTCCTGCCAAAAGCGTATGGGGACTCGAGTCAGAGAACGAAATGACAAGGATACTTTCCCCCCGGGCAACTGGTACGATAATGACGGCTGCTTCCTGATGTACATCGTTGCACTCTTCTTCCCTCGTCCTTGCGCTGCAACCACCGTGTCCGTGTTGCCTCACCGCACATGAAACTAAAAGGGCCAAAGTTTCGGATTTGCAACCGTGGCGTAAAAAGGTCCTCCCAAACAGGAATGCCCCCTCTTCAACTGTCACCAGCCAAGGTCGCTTCCTTTGGACTAGCGTTGTGCTACGAGGCGTAGTAAAAGGTGGCGTTTGCTGGGAAAAAAGTATACCGGCCAAGTCCGTCTGATGGAAGAACAAAGGCATTATGGAACGATGGGCTAATGAAGAAAGCTAGAACTCAAGGAAAAAAAAAACTTTGTAGAGCGCGCTCTCTGTGCGAGGTGTCATCTGTCAATCCTCAGGCGCACCCGCCGTCTGTATTTACAACCTGTTCCTCCATTGCCCCAACTAACAGCCTCTGATCTAGCCTCCCACAGACGGTGTCAACATTGGCAAGACGAAAAGTACAAAAATGCACTTTATATTATATATATATATATATATATATTTTAGCTATCTGTCATTGAAAATCAAGTGTCTAAATTGCCATGCCATTGCCATTGCCATGGACAAGCTGGTAACAGTTGAGCTAATCGTCTTGCAGTCCGGCACTCCGACGTCTTGTCGGAGCTAATGGAAAAGCCAAAACTAATCCCAAGATTATATGGCACCAACAACCGTTTTTTTTAGCAGTCTCCATTCCCCTGACACTATGGTCCTTTTTTTTTTTTTCTCTCTGCAAGCTTTCATTGCATAAAGCGAGATATACGAGTTGGCAAAGTCTTTCTTCCTCCATAGACCCCTACCCATTTGCCCATGATGGGATGCAAATCAATGGGTCTTGGCGACCACTTTGCGATGTGGAGATGTGCCTTTTTCAGCAGCCCTCTCTGCGTTACACGTTTATGCACTGTGCTCTTCTTCTGCCCCTCTCCCCTGGCCAGGCTTTTTGCAGCCGAGGAGCTCGCCCAATGGCGTGTCTTTTTTCTTCTCGATCGGGTGGGAATTGCGAGACTAGCATACAAATTGGGCCCTTGCCAGCACCACTCGCGAAAAACTCAAAATGAAAGTAAAAAAAAAAAGCCTTCGGAGCATGGCGAACGTGTTTTCCGTCTTGTTGGGAGAATTGCGGCTAGACTGCTAATTGGACCAAAGTTACAAGCTGACGGCCCATCTTACGAACTCTAGATGACAAGTTGAGGCCGATGTAAAATTGTAATTAGATGTTCATGCAGACTGGCAATTACATAAAAAGTTTCCAATGTTTATGTTTATTTTTAGCAAAGATGCTGCAATGATCAGCGGCCTGTTGATGGCCTCCGTGTTGGCCGTGGGATTTTTCCCGGCACCGGACCGACCGGGTCGGCGAACCCCATCCCACGTAACAGGAGCGCGCTCTTATTGGGAGAGAGAGGCTGCTAGCAAAGTTACCGAGGCTGATAAAGCCCCCCGCCAACTCCAGTGTACGGTTAAACAACGGACTTGAAAGGTCACGCGGCGCAGCAAGTAGTTGTGACTGGCTGCCTATTACACGGCCCGAATGAAGTGTGCGCGGAAAGGACGGAATTGTCACCGGCGTGGCTTCGAGTCGGCTCGGTTGGCCATTATCGTGTTCCTGAATTCAGCAAAGTTTATGGTTTGAGCTCTTGCCTCGATCTTTTAGGATTAAAGTGGTTATCTCCAGAATTCGCCCGGTGGAGGCTGCGTCTCTTGGCGCAGTACAGTTTTCATTTTGACCAATCTTGGCTTGCTTGCATGAGTGTGGCCAAGTTATCCCGTATCCGTACGTAAAAGAAAGTGCCTTGAAAATGTTGACCCAAGTCGCGATTGATAGTGTGACTATGTAGCCTGTTTCGTTTTTTGCAGGAATATGGGTTCAGGTTCTTAGGGGTGGTTTGTGCGGTGTGTTGGCGGCTCCATTTCTTCAACCATGAACCCGATCAATAATGTATCGGAGAGGAGCCTGAAAATCTTTCCGGCGATCTTGGTAGGCCAAAACTGGTTCATCGCCATTCTGGGCTGATTTTCTGGTTGCCCCTCCACACAACCCCCCCTTCCTTTGCCTCTTTGCGATACTTAGTAACTGATCCGTAGAAACTAGGTAGAATGGCCGTGCGAGCCAGAACCAGGGGGCGGGACATTTCTTTTTTTTTTAACGGTGGGCTAATAATAACGAGAAACGATGCAGACACACCTTTGAGCGACGTCGAAATTTAATTATTAGTGGAAATCTTTCCACAGATGGCTGAGGTCTGTTCGCGTCATGCCCCTGGCTCAGCCTCGTGGCAGCGATGGAACCGGCTCGCCGAGTAAAGTTCAGGCTACGGGCAAACAAGGCCCTCTTTCG